AGCTGGGCATGAGCAAATGGCAAGAGATGAACTGAAGTCGTTACAAATCACTTTAAAATTAAATAATACAAATGCACAGAATATTTCCCTCATTTCTTTACTGTAAGTAGTAGTTTCTAAATACCATTGCATGCACATATCTTGAATGTGAACTTACTCACATATATTCACAGGCATTTGTTTTATTTCTTCTGCGAAGACAGCAGCTTTAGCTACTACCAGAGATGACATCTTGGCCCGTAGTCTGTAAGTTAGGTATTGCAAGTTCAGTTTTTGGTGAAACAGAAGGTAAGTAAAGAAGTGCTTATCTGTAAATGCTAAGTCACAGTATGGAGAAAACAGAGGGAAGCAGTACAGGCATAGCTGGGGATGACAGCTGTGACACAATTACTGAGGGAAGAAAACGTGCTGGAATTGGCGGTCTAATAGCAAGGGTATGTTTTATTCACAAGGCGGTCAGTCTGACCACCTCCAGTTTTCCAGTATTCCAGGACTATGCTTGGTCTTGTGCCTCCTGAGGTCAGTAGGGTTTTTACACCTTTGACTTCAGGAGGAGCAGAGTTCAGCTACCACTTAGCACTCCATGTGGCCAGCTTGAAGACTGTGGCTCAAGAGAGCAGTTAGAGTTGGGAACTTTAAAAGATTAAGTCAAGATTCAGTATTTCTAAGCATGTAGCTAACAGTCCTTTGGCTCTCTACTTTTCAGCTGAGAACTGTAAACTCTTGCAGCCACTCAGTTCTCCATTGTCATATGTGTTCAAGGAGCTTACCAACATTTCATGTATTACATCAGTGGTACTGTCTTTTAAAGTGAGGTGAAGAAAGCAAAAAAACCCGTTAATTTCCAGTGTTACTTTCACTTTAGTATCATATTTCAGAATGCAACTATTTTTCAAAGCGCGTTCCCTCTGTTTGACCTTTGTTTACCCCTGATGTTAGTTTTAACACAACGTGGCTAGCTGGTTGACAATGTCATTTGCAGTACCTGTGGTTTCCATGAGATGGCACCCATTTCCTAACCATAGAAGCAAAAGACGCGGTGAAATCCTGACTCCATTTAACTTCATTTGAGTTTAGTTACTGACTACATAAGCCTGAATTTCATCTACAGCATATGATACTGCGAGAAGCCAAATATTTTCTATCGTATATGCAGTACCCTTAAATAAAATGCGAGCGGGTAGTATTTGGCACCTAATAGCAATCCAACATTGTTTTCAGGTTGACCCACTGGGTAAGAAATTTGTTTCTGTATAATTGTGATCTCCAGCGCATCCTCCCTTTCAGTTATCTCACAACTGGTAACACCAAAATCTGACTAAACAGATATTGTTTTATTTCAGGAGACATATTGTAGCAACATACTCCTACAAAGGAATTACCTTCAAGCTGTGAAAAGGAGGAATAATATTGTTGCATTTGTATTGTCTTCTCTGAAGGGCAGTATATATTTTTCAGATATTATTAAGGTTTCTTTTGGCTCTGGTCATTAACCACTAGATTGTGAGTAGCTCATCCCACATTCATCTTCTGTTGTAGGTACTGCAGTGACTGCCTTAAAATTTTATTTAATGAACACATTTGTTCACAAAACAGGAAATCCACAAGGCTTCATTCAGTAAGTTACATTATGGTAGTCCATGTCTCTGAATTTTTCAGAAATTATTAACTATTTTTCTTTTTCTCTCAGCTCCTGAGCAGGAGTTGTTATGCCCAAAAGCACACCTGGTTCTCCTTCCAACTACAACAGCTGATTTCCATGCAAAGCTTCCATCTTTTCAGGTTCAGAAATGCCTCAACTACATGCGTTCACACAATAAAGTTTAATTTAAATGTTCATAGCCTGCTGGTACCTTCCTCTCCAGCAGCCTAGGGAAACACCTGTACCGTGTAGTAGACAACTGGCAGTTCACATCAGCTAGGTCCTCTAGCAACCAGGAGTTATTATGCATCACTTTACAAGTGCAAGGATCAAAATTAAAGAGCATGCCCTTATTACCTGGCTCACTAGATAATTTAGGTCCATTCCTGAGTAATAATGAGATCTATCCAAATACAGACTGGAGCCTTAGGCTTGAGCTACTCTTGACAGAAGAGAGAGAACACAGACATTTACCTCCATGAATGTGTCCCCTGTGGGGCTGACCAAATGAAGTATATCCTGAGCAAGGGTTGTGCAAACAAGCAGTTATCCTTCACTACGTTGACCTAGCCTTGAAATGACTAACGAGGAAAGCTGATCGAGTTCAGGTTATCTTGGCACTCTCTAACGTGGGGAGAATTTTCCTTTTTCCTGTTGTATTAGAAAAGTCTGTGAGATGCAAATAGGAGATCTAACCTTCTCCCTGCTAATGTGTTGGGGAGACTATTGCTACCAAAGCACAGGGCCCTTGAGAATAGCTGCCTAAAACAAGGATCCTCATGAAGTGTATTATGAAACCCAGCTTCAGCGGGACAAACAGCCACTGCAATTAACAATAGCATCTATCATTTAGTAACAGATTGCTTACAAACTATTCAGTTGTTTTAACCAAAAAAAAGAGATGTCTCTCTCTCAGCCGATACAAACCCGACACACACATATACCCACACCCCTCTTCAAAAGTGCGTGTGGAGGATTAAGTTTTTAACAATAAAACAGAATTTCCAATACAGTAGGCCTGAATTTATAACATCCAAAATATATTTTGTGAGTTTTGTGTGATTAAACGAGATATAGGCAAAATGAATGAAGAAGTGGCTGATGGAAAGACTGATAAACACCAGAGACGAAAGACTATGCAGGTATGAAAAACAGAGCAAACCATGAATCACAAACCTAGGAAAACCCAATGTACATATGTAACACCATGCGTATACTGGTTCAACCTCATCACAAAATTATGTTTCATGAAAATCCATGAGTGGGATGCAGTAGTCACCCAGATACAATTGAAAAACATAAAAATAGTCCATTACAGGAGCACATCAGTGTAGCTGGGATTTTTTTGCAGCTAAAGATACAACAAATTCTGCCCAAAGGAAAATAATTCACATGCTTGGTGGCAAGACTGTTTAATAGTAACTGTTTGCGTTATAGCCCAGGCTTACTGGTTATTAACCAAGAAGCCATTGTGCTTAGAGCCGCACAAGCACAGAACAAACACTGCCCCTCTACAAAGACTTTACAACATATAGCTTGGCACCAGTCTCCCGTAGCAAAACATTTGATGGCATTGTGCGTTTGGGAACCAGCAACGAGGAATGCCATTTGCACCTGTTGCATTTCGTTTAAAAGGTGCATGCAACAGTTTATGCGTCCTTTCTCTTACTTTTTCCTCTTTACGTTTTCACGCTGATGTATGCTGCGCATTTTGAAGCGCCACTAAACAAACTGCTCTCGCCCACCTAAGCACTTTGTGAGTAGTTCCGCGCTTGTCAAAGCATCAATTTTAAAACCGCGTACTGGTGCCTCGCACTGCCCTCGCGGGCGCCGCCTACCAGCTTTCCGCCGCGGGGC